GAATGCCGGGACGGTCGGTCCCTGCTCAACGGGTAACGACCGCTGCCCAGGAAAAGCAACCAACGGCCAGCGGGGCCTTGCACGGGCCGCGGGATGGCCGGAAGAAACTCCTCGGGGTGGAGTCGGGGGCCTCGAGACGGGGGTCAGTGCAGACGGGGGTCAGCCAGGGCGCCGGATCCTGCAGGATCCTGCGAAGGCCCCCTCTGGCTGACCCGGGTTAGGGAGCCGCTCGTGGCCGCGAGGCGGCCGCGCGTATTGGCTGACCCGGGTTTGCGAGGACCTGCGTTGCAGTTTTTTTTCCTGCATTGCAGTTTTTGGTTTCCTGCTGACCCGGGTCTGGATTGACCCGGGTCAGAAGATCCCCGATGGAGCGCCAGTCCAGGGGAGGAGCCCCAGGGTCGAGGGCCCGTGGCCCTCGCGCGCGGCCCTTCGCCAGAGTGACCTCTCAATCTTCGGAGCTCGCTGGGTCGGCAGCGTGCGGCACCCCCTCGCCTTCCCGGCGGAGCGGTCGGCGGCCCTCCTCGCCCCGTGGGCCCCGGGCGCCCAGGGGCCGGGCGGCCAAGGCCTGCCCCGGCCTCCCGGCCCGCCCTCCCCGCGGGGCAGTCGTGGCGGCGAGCGTCGGGGGCCCCCAATGAGGAGCAGGAGGAGGAGGAGGAGGAGCAGGAGGAGGAGCAGGAGGAGCAGGAGGAGCAGGAGGAGGGAGGTGGAGGAGGGAGGTGGAGAAGGGGGAGGAGGAGGAGGAGGAGGAGGAGGAGGAGGAGGAGGAGGAGGAGGAGGAGGAGGAGGAGGAGGGAGGTGGAGGAGGAAGGAGGAGGAGGGGCAGGAGGGGAGGGGAGGGGAGGAGGAGGAGGAGGAGGAGGGGAGGAGGAGGGAGGAGGAGCAGGAGGAGGGAGGTGGAGGAGGGAGGTGGAGAAGGGGAGGAGGAGGAGGAGGAGGAGGAGGAGGAGGAGGAGGAGGGAGGTGGAGGAGGAAGGAGAGGAGGAGGGAGGAGGAGCAGGAGGAGGAGGAGGAGGAGGGAGAGTAGGAGGAGGAGTAGGAGGAGGAGGTGGAGGAGGTGAAGGAGGAGGAGAAGAAGGAGCAGGAGGAGGAGGAGGAGGAGGAGGAGGAGGAGGAGGAGCAGGATGATGAGGAGGAGGAGGGAGGTGGAGGAAGGAGGTGGAGAAGGGAGAGGAGCAGGAGGAGGAGGAGGAGGATATACGAGCATATACGCGAATCTACGCTCGGTGGGTCTCTTGCGACACTTGCGACCGGGAATGTCTCGGTCGATCAAGACGGTGAGCGTTTCCAGTACAAGAAAGTCGAATAGTTTCAGTTGCTGGGGGAGCTGTTCGATCCTGTGGGCTCGTCTTTCGAGTCTTGGACTTACAACACCGGCAAGGCTGAATCGCACTACTTCAAGCACCGCACAACCTTGAGGAGCCCAGGGCTGACATATACGAAGCGCTTGCGATTGTGGCGTGATGCTGCGTCGTGCGTTGCTTTTCATAACTGTTGTACTTGGCACGTGTCTCCAGGACTGCTGTGGGCGGTAAGGAGTGGGAACTCAAGATGTTACGGAAGATTCTGCGACTGGGTCGGAGACCTGGGGAACGGAATTTTCAATACAATGACCGCACGGCGCGTATTATTCAGCGCTGGATGGATTTGTTGGACATGCCATGCTTGCCAGAGAGGCTTGTCAAAGCAGTCTTCAAATCAGCTTTCAAAGACTCTTGGTTCGCGGTTCGGCCGAACGACCTGCCCCTGCAGTACCTCAGGTCTTATCGCAATTCACGTTGGTGGGCGACGATGTTGGCGATCACTTCTGAGCGGAAGCGGCGGAGGCTGGGGCTCGTTCGGGGCCGCTCTGGGCTTCAATCGACACCGTGGGAGCGGCCTTTCATAGAGGTGTGGGGCACTGGGTGGAGGGACCGGCTGGCGATGTCTTCCGACACGACAGGTTGGATGTCTTTGTTCAGGGACTTCAACCGGGAGCTCTTCGTCACGTGGGGGCTTCGTTCTAGAAGCGATCCCGCCATCACCAACGAACCACCGATCAAGAAGATCCGCTTGGCTTCAGCACGAGATTAATTACCATTGTGCCCTTGCTTCCACAAGGAGCTGGCATGGAACGCTGGATCCAGGCGGTTGTGGATACAGACGGACAACCAATTATTGGAACAATTGTTGAATGGTCGAGCGGCGATGGAGTCTCCTCAAGCCCGTCCTCTTTTCATCAGGCTCTGCAAGTATCTGCAGCGGTTGCTGTACATTGGCATTTTCCGCGCTTGAACACGACAGGTTTCGTGGAGTGGAATCCCTGGTCTTACCTTTGCGTAGCCGACCATGCGGCGAATGTTGCTTTGGATGGGCAGGCCCCGTAGGGGGCAGGAGGATTCTACGGCCGTGTCGGCGGCAAGATCAACACATGCGAATATACGGCTTAGCTTCGACGGCGCACTACGCGGCGGTAGTCGTGGGCAGGCTGCAGCGGGAGTCGCGGTGTATTCATATACAGCACAAGCCGGCAGAAATCAGTTGTTCGTTGGTGGCAGGCTTCTCGGTGAGTTGCATTATTCTTTCTTGGCTAAGGCACTGAGCTTGGAGTGGGCGTTCGAGGTACTTTTCATTACGGCATTGGGTGTAAGTGAGCAGTGACATGTAGCAGTGGGCAGGGCAGGATGTGCACGTGATGCATTGTTCCACACTGGGAAGAAGGAGAAGGAGGAGGAGGAGGAGGAGGAGGGATTCGGGGACACCTCACGATTTTTGGGGCTCGAGTCCCTCCCTGGGGGTGTTTTGGGCGGCAGGGGCCTCCAGGGTCCCGAGACCGTGCGGTGACGGGCCGTGCGGTGAGGTCTCTCGGGGTTCCGAGGTCACCGCACGGTCTGTCACCACACGGTTTGGGGATCCTCAAGGGCGAAGGGGGAAAGGAGAAGGATAAGGCCTTCTCAGAAGGCGGCGTGGCTTCTCAGGAGCCCTCGCGCCTTTGAGAGGTTCTCGGTGTCTTCGGGGAACTTAAAATCCTCCTGCTCCTGCTCCTGCTCCTGCTCCTGCTCCTCCTCCTCCTCCTCCTCCTCCTCCTCCTCCTCCTCCTCCATTCCTTTCTCCTTATAGATAATTTCTCCCTGTCGCACCCCGAGGCCTGTTTTCAGGGCGGGCCGGGCGTTTCGCCTGAGACGTCCTCACCATTATTGATTCTGAAGCTCACAAGGTGGCAACAGCTTCACAGATGGAGGGCGGATCGTTTTCAAAATGTTGTTCTCGCCTTCGCGCCGCGCACATTCGTTCTAAACAAATGCAAGAGCTTCACGGATTGAGGGCGGGCCGTCTTCAAAATGTGGTTCGCATTTGCTCCGCGCACATTCGTTTTAAACAATTGCAGGAGCTTCACAGTTTGATGGCGGTTCTTTTTCAAAATGTGGTTCTCGCCTTAGCGCCGCGCACATTCGCTTTAATATTTTTGCCAGGTTTCACGTGTTGAGGGCGGGTGGTTTTCAAAATGTGGCTCGCATTTGCGCCGTGCACATTCGTTTCAGACATTGGCAAGAGTTTCACGGATTTCGGGCGGGTGTTTTTCAAATTATGGTTCTCGCCTTAGCGCCGTGCACAGTTTGCTGGGAGTTCGCAGCAGCTTCACGGATTGATGGCGGCTCCTTTTCAAATTTGTTGCTCTCGCTTTAACGCCGCGCACATTCTCTTTAAACATTCGCAAGAGTTTTTGGGATTGCGGGCGGTGCCTTTGCGAAATGTTGCTCTCGCCTTAGCGCCGCGCACATTCGTTTCCCAAATATACAAGGTATTCACGGGTTCCCATGATCAACGTACCAGAAATCGTGTTTTTGAAGGAATCAGGACTATGCGGTTGCAGCAGTTGTGTTGGTTCGCGGTGTTGGGGTCCCAAAAATGGCGTTCTGACACGGTTCTGGATCGTCTAGACGCAGCAGTCAGGTTGATCCGCGGCGTTGAAATCTCGAGTGCAATGTTTTCGCATGCTTCAGGGTCTTCAAACGGTCGTCTTCCAACCAGGCACTTCTTTCAATTGAAATGAACCGTTGTAGGGGCCTATGAAGAGGGAGCTTGGAGGGAGGGTAAATTCAACCATCGTTGATGGGTCTTGGGTTGACACTGGTCCTCCTCTTCTTCCTCCTCCTCCTCCTCCCCCTCCTCCTCTTCCTCCTCTTCCTCCATTCTTTCCCCTTATAGATAACTTCTCCTTGTCGCGCCCCGAGGCCTGTTTTCAGGGCGGGCCGTGCGTTTCGATAGAGACGTCCTCACCATGTATGATTCTGAAGCTTAAAAGTGAGAACAGCTTCACACATGGAGGGCGGTTGGTTTTCAAAATGTGGTTCTCGCTTTCAGCGCCGCGCACATTCGTTTTAACACAATTCAAGAGCTTTACGGATTGAGGGCGGGCCGTTTTCAAATTGTGGCTCGCATTTGTGCCGCGCACATTCGTTCACATTCGTTTTAATATGTGTGCAAGAGTTTCACGGGTTGAGGGCGGGTGGTTTTCAAATTATGGTTCTCGCCTCAGCGACGTGCACAGTCGTTTGAGAAATTGGCAAGAGTTGCACATATTGAGGGCGGGTGGTTCTTCAAATTATGGCCCTCGCCTTAGCGCCGTGCACATTTGTTTTTTAAATTTCGCGAAAGCTTCACGGATTGATGGCGGTCCTGTTTCAGCATGTGGTTCTCGCCTTAGCGCCGTGCACATTCGTTTTCAAAATTTGCAAGAGTTTCTCGTATTGAGGGCAGTGCCTTTGCATCATGTGGCTCTCGCCTTAGCGCCGCGCAAATTTGTTCAAACACTTGCAAGAATTTCACGGATTCCCATGGTCAACGTTTCAGAAATAAAGGGTTAATTCCAACATCGTGGATGGTTCTTGTGTTTACACTGGTCCTCCTCCTCCTCCTCTTCCTCCTCCTTCCCCTCCTCCTCGTCCTCCTCGTCCTCCTCGTCCTCCTTCTCCTCATCCGCCCTTTCTCACTTCCCCCCGTGGGCCCGCCCTCCCCGCGAGGCAGTCGCGGCAGCTGGGGAGCGCGGCCTTCCGGTCCGTGAGCAACCCGCTCGAATGCGAGTTGGACCCGCTTCAGGGGCAGCGTCAGTGGCTTTCACACGAGCGGCGAACAGATCTCGGGCGAGGAGAACTATGCACATGCACGGATCCTGGCCAGGCCCATCCTTGGCCCAGGATCGGTGCAGATGCGTTTCTGGCCAAGGCAGGAGGGCACATGCCCCGATCCAGGGCTCAGGATGGACCTGGCTAGAATCAGTGCATGTGCAGAGATCTTTTCTTCAAAGATCCGCATCCGCACCCTCGCGGTCTGGATTCCGAGGCGCGCGATCCCGCGGATACGCGGTCGTACGGGTGCGTTCCGCGCGGGGCATTTGCGATAGCCTGGGAGCCGGGCCCGCGAGGCCGCGGATACAGATATGTCTTTCGCCCACGAGGGTTGGGGTCGGGCTGCAGGGGAGAACGCACGACTCCCACGTCACATCACCCCGCCCAGGAGCATATGGACTTGCTGTCGTGGGCCTAGCGGCGATGTGTCGCTGGTTCAAGCTCAATATCCCCCCGTCCCCCGACTCAGTCCCCCCTCGATCGTTTCCCCATCATCGCGAGGGCCGCCCGTCGTCTCTCGCCGATCGGGAAGGGTGGGCAGTCGAGTCAACGGCCTTGGCATCGCTCGGACGTGTGCATTTTTTCTCGTCGAGGGCCATCGGGGAGCTTCTTGGATTACGGCGAAACATACAAGTGCGAAATATAAAAAATGCACAGGGAATGGATGTCCGAACGATGGCAAGGTCAGCTGGGGGATCCGGCCGCAGGACGCATGGCCGCAGGCCCTGTGGCCATGCGTCCTGAGCACCTGACTTCTGTTCGGCTACCGAAGGTTCAACGGCGAGAGAGGGGGGAAGTGAGAGACGGCCTTCTCAGAGGGCGGCGGGATTTCTCAGAAGCCCTCGTGCCTTCTGAGAGGTGTTCTGTGTCTTCGGGGTAGGCTTTGGACACTTTTCAGAAGGCCGGTGGACTTCCGAGCCTTCTGAGAAGGCATTTTCCTTCTCACTTCCCCCCCGGGCTCGCCTCCGAACAGAAGGAGCGTGCGCTCGAATACAGCGGCTGAGGTATCGAATTTGTCTAATGTGGCGCCAGTGGTTTGCGCTGGTACATTCGGCGGAGTTGCGCTATGGTTCTCCTCGGCTCATTTCATGTGTTTTTTTTTTTGCGAATTTTAGACGCTTCGTGTATGCCCACCAGCCCATCCAGAAACGATGTCCAGGCGAGTTGAGGTGATCAGGGAAGTGCGGGAGCAAAGAGGTGTTCGGCCGAACCGTGCGAGAGAGGGAGGAGGAGGAGGAGGAGAAAGAAGCTGGATGGATGGATAAGGAAGCGGGGAGAATAACGATGAATAGGATGATAGTGGAGGAGGAGGAGGAGGAGGAGGAGGAAGAGAAGGAGTAGGAGGAGGACGGAGGAGCAGGAGGAGGAGGGCAAGCAAAAGGGCCAGAGGTATCTTGAATGCCTCTCGGAGCCTCTTGGGATATCTCTTGGGCGCTTCTTGAAGGCCTCTTGGGACGTCTTGGGGGTCTCTCGGCGGTCCTGGGGGGGCTCTTGGGCGTCTTGGGTGCCTCGGGGGGAGCTCTTGGGGCCGCTTGGGGTCCTCTTGGGGGCCTCCTGGGGACCTCTTGGGGCCTTCTTGGAGCCATCTTGGGCCCATATTGGGGCATCTTGAGGCCTCCTGAGCGCCTCTTGGGGCCATCTTGGAGGAGATCGATCAAAGAAGGGGGGTCTTTAATTAGCATGCCCACAAAAGGCCAACATGGAGCCAAAACCTTAGTAAAACCAATGATTGCAGTGGCCTCCGGCCAGTGCCGCCGATCCAGGGGCGCTCCGACTGATGTGATCATCTTTCGCCCTCGTCCTTCCTCTCTTTTCCCCTCCCTCCTATTCTCCCTCTGCATTTATCGAAGACGCCTACGTCGAGTCACCGCCGCCCCCTGCCTTTTTGGAAGCGCCTATGTGGCCGAACGTGGAGGCCAGACCTGCCAAACTATCGGACCATGTGTTCCCCGAATCGGTTTGGAACGCCGTCGGGGAACACGTGGGCATCTTGAAAGGTCCTCTTGGCCGCCTGGAGGCCATTTTGACCCTTTCGGCCCTTCTTGGACGACGTCCTGGAGGGCTCTTGGGCCGTCTTGGAAGCCATCTTGAGCGTTTTGGAGGCCTCTTGGGCCGTCTTGGGGGCCTCTTGGGGCCGTGTTTCGGCCTCTTGGGCGATCTTTGGGGGCACTTGGGTCGTCTCGGGCCGTCGGAAGGCTAAAAAAACGCAAATGCCACACTCCTCCAACACCTCATGGGAAATTCATGATGTTGGCTTTTTCGGGCCTTCCTGGAGGCCCTCTTGGAGGCCTCTTGGGCCGTCTTGGGTCATCTTAGGGCCATCTTCGGCCGTCTTGGTGGGCCCCTGGGCCATCCGACGCCGTCGAAAGCCGTTTGGGTGCCCTCTCTGAGCCGACTTGGGACCCTCTTGGAATGCTCCAGGGCCTTCTTGGAGGCCTTCTTGGGCGTCATAAAAGACCTCTTTGGCCGTTTGGGGGGCTTCTTGGGGCCGTCTTGGGGGCCTCTAGGGCCGTTCTGGGGCCATCTTGGAGGCCTCTTGGGCGATCTTTGGGCGATCTTTGGGGGCTCTTGGGCCGTATCGGCCGTCCGAAGGCCGAAACGAAGCAAATGTCAAAATCCGTCAAGAACCTACGGGAAATCTGGTCTTGGAGGCCTTTTGGGCCGTCTTGGGCCAGCTTCGAGCCAGCTTCGGCTATCTTGGTGGGCTCCTGGCCCGTCTGACGCCGTCGGGAGCCGTTCGGGGAGCCTTTCTGGGCCGACTTGGGACCCTCTTGGGGTGCTCCAGGGCCGTCTTGGAGGCCATCTTGGGCGTCTTGGAGGCCTCTTGGGCCGTCTTCGGGCCCCTTTGGGGCGGTCTTGGGGGCGTCTGGGGCCGTCATGGGGCCATCTTGGAGGCCTCTTGGGCGATCTTGGGGGCCTCTTGGGCCGTCTTGGGCCGTCGGAAAGCCGTGAAGAAGCGAATGCCAACATCTGTGAAAATGGAAAATCAATGATGTTGGCCTCGTCGGGCCTTGCTGGAGGCCCTCTTGGAGGCCTCTTGGGCCGTCTTGGAGGCCTCTTGCGGGCATTTTGGGTTGTCTTGGACTCTCTTGGGCCGTCTTGGAGGCCGTCTTGGACCATCTTGGGCGGACTTGGAGGCCATCTTGGACCATTTTGGAGGCCATCTTGGGCCGACGTGGCCATCTTGGAAGCCATCTTGAGCCGTCTTGGCGGGTTTGTTGGGGAATTGAGCGCCTTCCGCGGCCTCGGCGGGACGGGCCGAAGCCCCAGGGGGAGTTCTTTTCGAAAAAGAACCACATCCCAAAGCGATACCGTTCGGCACGCCAGGCACCTTTTTGATACATCAAATGGGGGCGGCGGATCGAAGACGCCTACGGCGAATCACCGCCGCCCCCTGCCTTTTTGGAAGCGCCTATGTGGCCGAACGCTTGGAATGCTCCAGGGCCGTCTTGGAGGCCATCTTGGGCGTCTTAAGGGGCTCCTGGGCCGTCTTGGGGGCCTCTTGGCCGTTCTGGGGCCATCTTGGAGGCCTCTTGGGCGATCTTGGGGCGATCCTTGGGGGCTGTTTGGCCGTCTCGGGCCGTCGGAAGGCCGAAAAGAAGCAAAAGTCGAAATCCATCAAAAAACAAAGGGGAATCTGTGTTTGGGGCCTTTTCTGGCCTTCCTGGAAGCCTCTTGGGCCGTCTTGGGCCAGCTTCGAGCCAACTTCGGCCATCTTGGTGGGTTCCTGGCACGTCTTACGCCGTCGGGAGCCGTCTTGTGGGCCTCTCTGGGCCGATTTGGGGCGCTCCAGGGCGGTTTTGGATGCCAACTTGGGCGTGTTGGAGGCCCCTTGTGTCGTCTTTGTGCCGTCTTGGGGCCGTCTTGCGGGCCTCTTGGGCCGTCATGGGGCCATCTTGGAGGCCTCTTGGGCGCTGTGGGGGCGATCTTGGGGGCCTCTTGGGCCGTCCTGGGTCGTCAGGAAGCCGAAATGGAGCAAATACCCAAATCGTTCAAAAACCTAAGGCAAATCAATGATTTTGGCCTCTTCGGGCTCTCCTGGAGGACCTCTTGGAGGCCTCTTGGGCCGTCTTGGAGGCCTCTTGGGGGCCTCTTGGGCCGTCTTGGACTCTCTTGGGCCGTCTTGGAGTCCGTCTTGGACTTGGAGGCCATCTTGGGCCAACGTGGCCATCTTCGAGGCCATCTTGGCCATCTTGGACGCCATCTTGAGCCGTCTTGGAGGATTTGTTCTGGACTTTGGTGTCCTGGAAGAGCATCCCGGGACCCCGGCTGGACGGGCCGAAGCGCCAGGCCGAATTTCGGCCTCGCCTGCGGCGAATCACCGCCGCCCCCTGCCTTTTTGGAAGCGCCTATGTGGCCGAAGGTTGTGGCCAGAGGCCTGCCAAGCTATCGGACCATGTGTTCCCCGAATCGGTTTGGAAAGCCTTCAGGGAACACGTGGGCATCTTGAAGGTCATCTTGGCCGTCTTGGAGGCCATTCTGATCCTTTCGGGCCTTCTTTGAGGACGTCTTGGAGGGCTCTCGGGCCGTCGTGGAGGCTATCTTGAGCGTCTTGGAGACATCTTGGGCCGTCTTGGGTGCCTCTTGGGGCCGTGCCTTGGGCCTCTTGGGCGATCTTTGTGTCTCGGGCCGTCGGACGGCAGAAACAAGCAAATGCCACAATCCTTCAAAAACCATGGGAAATCAATGATTTTGGCCTTTTCGGGCCTTCCTGGAGGCCTCTTGGGCCGTCTTGGGCCATCTTAGGGCCATGTTCGACCGTCTTGGTGGGCTCATGGTCTGTCTGACGCCGTCGGAAGCCGTTTGGGGGGCCTCTATGGGCCGACTTGGGGCCCTCTTGGAATTCTCCAGGGCCGTCTTGGAGGCTATCTTGGGCTTCTTAAAGGCCTCCTGTGCCGTCTTGGGGGCCTCTTGGGGCCGTCTTGGGGCCCTCTTGGGCCGTTTTGTGGCCATCTTGGAGGCCTCTTGGGCGATCTTTCGGCGAT